GAAACGTCAGCTTTCCTGCTCCTCTGATGCTGCTTGGCCTGCTGTGTTCAGCCAGCTCTACACGTTGTTATCTCATGTTGTGACCTATAGTTTCCGGTATTGACTAAATAAGGCAAACATCATGGTGTCTCTAGACACTCTGGCACCAGACTACCTTATATGGAGAATGGAATATCGCTTTTTATGGCTTGTTATAAACATTTGGGACTTGTTTACCAGTGAAATTCCATTCTCTGGGATCAAATAATTTGATCAGGCTTTGATCAATTCATTGACTGAGTGCCAGAGAACTTTCTGGAAACTTAGCACATTTGAAATAAATTAACAGAACAAAGGATTTTCTCAGAAGAAGCCTTCAAGATGATATTTGAGAAGCATGTGCCCTGAAGTGATCTTCAGAGAAAACAAAGAACCATGAGACAAGACTTAGACAACAAAGTTGGCCACCACTCACATCAGAGTAGTATTTGTTTCAAACCAAACTAATACAGTTAGAGTTTAGGTTAAATGGGGAGTAAGTAAAGTAGGGTAAATTGAAGTTAGATGGAGTAAGAAGTAAATGTTACAATGAATGCATATTTTATATTGAACATTAGTACTTAATGTTAAATAAAATTTAATAAAGTTAAATAAAGTTAAATAAAGAAGGGTTTGTTTAATTAAATTGAGTCAGTTCTCTGCCTTTTGTCTGTCACACAGGGAAGAATATCTGGATAAAAGATTTGAGTTCTCTTTTTTAGGCAAAATTAGGAGTGTGGTTTAGAGTGTTTCCTCCACTGTTACATCTCTATCTGGTGAGTCAAAGTCTGTGTGTGATGCCAATCAAGAGCTGGAGGCAGTAGGTGAAGGAGTTGGCTCCTTTGGCATAGTTAAGGAGGAGATCAACTAATCCCTTCCACCCACGGATATTGAAGAAGCCCCTTGTTAAAAGTGGATTGTATTCATAGAGTTCCTATGACTGGTGCAATGAAGCATCCCTGATATTTGTTTGAAATCATCACCGATGCTTTCAAATCTTACTTGAAAGCAAAGAGCTCAAAAAGTCCTTTTTAAAACTACTGTAGACAAGATCATGATATGGAAGGAGGCTGGCTTGTTTTCAAACCATAGATAAACTGAATTTTGGAAGACATTCAATTTGAATTCAGAACTTGGAATGAGAAATACTTTGTTCATGTACTCACTTTTTTTGAAGGTAGACTTAAAGAAAGCCTTTTTGATATTATTTTGAAGGCAAAAAATGTTTTTAAAAAACCAGTTTGAAATTATCAAAAGTTTGAGAGTTTTTTTAAAGCAGAGTACATGAAAGTGCAACATGACATCACCTTCGTGACTTGGACCCTACCCCTTCTCAGAACAGCAGAGAGTAAACTCTTCCTACTGACAGCTTTGAAATCTTATCACACACCTGTGTAGCAAGATGAGAGATTTAGACACATCTATAAATTTAGAAATTCACAATTTAGTCATGTCTGGGCATTATTAATCCATTTGGTTTCTTCCAGAGCCATAGTGGATTTTATTTCCATGTTTTATACAGGTTTCAAGAACATAGGAGAACTGTGAACTGACTGTGATCACTTATGTCTTGAATAAAAAAAGCACTGGTTAAAACCACCAAGCCTGGACATAATTGTTTCTGAAAAGGAGACTAATAAAATTACTTGATACAATTTACAAGTGCATTTACACAATGGGAAATTTAATTGAAGTTGGGATAAATTAAAATTTAAAAATTTAAATTCATTTAAAACAAGAGCAAAAGGAAACAGTCTAAGTCGTTTTAATTTCTATCGAAAATGGAAAAGATTGGTTAGAAAGAAAATTAATTGACAACTTAACAAAACCCATCAGCCCAACAACACTGCTGAGGCTTTATACAAAAGAAACCCTCAAGTCTGTTGTCATATTTGGCCTTGGATAATTTTAAAACAAAAGTTGAGTATAATTGAGCAAATTACTTGCAAGAAAAAAGGTGTTTGTAAACAAGCCAGCAGAATTTTGAAATGCTTGAAACCTCATAGTATATTTGATTTCTGTTTTAAATATAGTTTTAAAAAAAACTGGATTTTAAGGGTTTCCAGGGGTCTGAGATTGAGATTGAATGCTAATTAGTGGGAAACCCCACCCAAGAGTAAAAGAATACTGACAGGGAAAAAAATGGCAATATCAAATGGGAATGGGAATGACTCATCTGAGGTTTAGATGAATGTAATATATCGAGTGAAAGTAAAGTGTAGATGAAATGAAATAATTAACACCTTTCTCTTGGAGATTCTGCCCTGACATTTTGTTTTTAAACACCACTGAATTGGATAATTTGGCCACCAGACAGAACACTGGGACCTTGTGGGGAGGATTCGCATACCATGCCACCCCTTCCGACCTCTCCAACTTTTGATTTTTCAAAAAGATCACCTGGAAGTCAATAATGCATGACATGATCTTCAGATGCAGATGTACGTGTGCAGAAGCAATTGTGATGTCTGAAGTAAGTAACATGAGGGAACGCATGGTGAAAATGTACCGAAGAATGTCTCAGACATGTATACCTGTTTGCAAAATGGTTATTGTAGCCTGAAGAGCAAGAAAACATATTTTTAATGATAACTGTTTAACATCTTTTACCAAATAACCTTGTGTTGTTGCATTAAAGAGCAACAGCCTTCTGTGATTATCTTTAGTATCGATCCACCATGGTAATCAATTGCAAACATTAAATTTCATCCATCAAGCCACATTTCACCCTGGGATTTGACTAGTCCAGTATTACCATCAGAATCATAACAGAACACAATATACGAATTTAAAATAGTGAATAAACTACACTTATGTAGTTTTGTTGAATTCCACTCTGGCTCCTCTTTTCAAATAAATACATCACCTAGTTTTGATTTTTTTCAAAGCCATCAGATTATCTTTGTTATGTGTAAGTTTAAGTTGGTGGCCGACATTAACTGCTCAATTTACTCCACTTACAACCAGTACACAACTGATTTATTCACTTATCCTCGATTATATGATAAATTCTATATCCAGTGACTTATTTTTGATCCATTATGTGGAGGTGCCAGTGTTTGACTGGGGTGGAAAAGTCAGAAGTTACATGACACCAGGTTATAGTCCAATCATGTTTGTTTGAAATCACAAGCTTTTGGAGCGCTTTCCCTTCATCGTACTTCACCTGACAAAGGTACAATGCTCTGAAAGCTTGTGGTTTCAAATAAACCTATTGGACTATAACCTGGTGTCATGTGACTTCTGACTTTATTTCTGCGCATTATTTGTACATTACTACTGTGTATGTGTTTAAAACTGATGATTTATGATTTATCAAATTTATCCTTTCCAATTACCAAAATTCTTTTAGTGACGTAAAAATATCCACTTTATAAGTTGAATATAAATAGGTAGATATTTTGACGCAAGTATTTTTTAAATCATGAAGAATAGATTCCCAAAGTCATGAGAAAGTGGATAACATCCAATAAGTTATAATGTTCCCATTTTTTTCATAAATGAAACCACAAAAGATATACATTACTAGGTATTACAGATTCTCCATTAAAATGCAGAATATTTATAATAAAATGGATTAATTTCCCTGCATTCGTTGGTGACCAGCCACTTCCTGATATTAAAAGTAAGATTTGGTAAATACTATTTTCTCTAGGCAATAATGGACTCCGCTAAAGGAAGCAGCTGCTTTAATTTGTAACAGCTAATGAATGGGAACCCAAAGAACTAAGAATAATATACCCTCTGGTTGCTGGATGTATATATAATATTGCTGCTACTGCAGTTGAACCATTAAACTCAATTTAAGATGATGTATTAAAAAGGGTTGTATACTAGATATGTCAGCACAAAAAAAAAAATTCAGGCTTGAAAACTCAAAAGCCTCTTTATTCCTTCACAGAAGAGAAGCAAATGCTACAACTTGTGGCAGCTACAAATATACTTTACCCATAACTATGAGCTGAAATCAACACAGATTATCAAGTTATCTTGACTTACAAAGAAACAGTTACAAAAAAAAAAGCATATTTTATCAAAAGGTCAATGGACCATTGCATTTCACGTATATTGAATTACTTTGAACTGCATCTGCTTTAACACACAAGACGAGGGACTGTGTTTTTTTAAAGTTATGGTTGAAGTATGAATCAGGTATGACACTGACAGAGCTCCCTGCTGCTCACTGAATGGTGCCAGAATAACTTAAACTATGGAATTATACAGCCCAGACCCCGGTAATAATAGTTCATCTGGATGAACAGTGGACAATGCTCCCCTGGATTTCACACAGTATAAATTTTGGTTTATTTAGGGGTCAATGCTTAGTGTACTTCAAAATAATTCACTGAATTATTTCAAATGTTTGAGGTACAAAATAAGAATGTTTAAATGCATCTAAAAGTGCATTTAGTTAAGTGATCAGACTGGCACACAACATTAAACGATAGTGAAATACTGCCACCAGTTTAATCACTTCTGTGCATTCTCCATTACCGTATTTACTTTTATAAAAGCTGATTTCATGTAAACTTGACTTCAAAATTTGTGGCCCAAAAATCAAAATTTTTCAACTTTCTGAAAGTCACCCTAGATTTTGAAGGTTCAATGGCCAAAAATTTCAGAACAAAAATATAATGCTGGAGACATTAATGACTTGAGTTTATTGTAAATATATAAATACTAATGAAAATAAGAATCTATAAATAAAACAGGTTTCATTTTTACTTTTACACAAGTGTGTAATATTATAAAAAATAGTTAGCTAATCAATATGAATTCTTTAGTGTTGTTTTTGTTCTTCTTACTCTATTCCATTGAAAAATTTACTTTCATATTTCACTTGGAGCCCATCAAATATATACGTCCACACCTCAAAAAAGATTACCAGTGTTAAAAGTTGATGCCATGATTTTAGGCCTAAAAAGGTTGATCTCAAATATTTGATTTTTACATAAGTCCTTTATATTGCATATAACTATATACTTACAATAACACTTCATTTTGTATAAATGTAAGTAATAACTGAAAAAATATGTATTATTTTATACTGGACACAGAAAAATATATTTGGAGGCGATTAATTACAAAAAGCATGAAGCATTCTGAAACTTAAAGACAAAAACTTTAATTTCAAGAAGTCTGAGCTAACTCTCATCCCGACTTTAATATCAGAGTCCTATGATACATTCTTGCAGAAATCAGACCAAAGAGAGCAAAGTTGTTTTTTTAAAACACACAAACTTATCAAATGTCTAGGTTTTATTCTGAGCAGGCATTTTTCCTTTTGCTTCACTCTGTTCAACTCCACGTCCCATCAGAATCCATGTCTAAAACAGCCTCCACTACTGGCAAAATGCAACCTTAAATAATCTGCATTTGTTGATAAAGTTTTGGCAGAGAACTTGCACAAATATGTCATATATCAGGTAAATAAAATAAGTCAGTGTACAGTGATGCCCGAGCGAACCTCGATTTCAGAAATTTGGAGAACTGGAAGCAGGAGCTGAAAGGCATCTTGAATGTAGGTTGCACTATTGGAAGCCTGAAAGAGAAGTTTAAATAAAGTTACAAATACTGCTGGTGAGATTTGTTTTTGGACAAAAAAATACTTACAGATATTCACTAGCATGAGTGAAAAAGGATAAACTGCTGAGTTTTGCAGGTTTGCCTCTTCACTTGAATTAATGTATGACTCTTACAAGCATAATGCTGGAATCTCAAAATCTGAATGCTTCCAACCTTGATTTTCTCTCCCCCTAAGTTTTGTTTTATAATCAATCCGGGGTGAAAATCAATACTGATGATCAGACATCATAAACGTTAAAGGAAATTGAGTGAATACCAGATAAATTAGAAAATTATGTTCAAGCAAGATCAAGTTAAGATTTTAAAATCTTTTAGCTGATCACGGATAGCAAACACCAAAAGAATGCAAGAGGTGTGTAACTCCAGGGATAGCATTTCATATGGCCTGCAGTGTTTTAAATATTTGGTCCTCTGAACAATTTGATGTTTTCTTTTATGTTCTTAATGGCCGCCTTTCATAAAACACTTATTTAAATTAGCAGTTTTCTTTTGTGGTGGTCACAGAATCACAAAAATGATGATATGCATTGCAAAATTTTATAAGGTGAAATATTAAAAGTTAAATGCATATAAGCACAATGTTTAATAATTGGAAAATGGTTACACTGGAAGAACAATGGGCCACTGGCACACAACAGGCGATATTTTTGATTAAATAGCATTTCTGCACCATATTGCTAAAGGAAATTCTCTCCAACAGCAAACTGCTTAATTTCCCAATATACTTTATGGTAACCTATTCACATTGGCTCTTTATACTACCCTTTCTGTAGTCAAATATATTTATAGAGTTCTGCAAAAGGTACTAATAATATTTCTGTGTGATGATATGTTATGGCAACTCAACTTCAGTTAAAAAAAAAAACTTGCCTATATATTACATACCTGGGGTGTTCTAAACCACTGCTGATGCAATGAAGTACTTTTGAAGTGTCACCACTATTATTCAAGTAAATTGAGCAACCACCTGGGTAAATGCAATCTCTCAAACAATAATGTGAAATGACTGATCATGTTCTTTGTGCTACTGTCAATAGAGATATTGAGCTAAATTTGCTATTGAAGTGAGTTAGTTTATCTATTTTAAGGAAAACAGATCTTCAACAATAGAAAAATAATTACTTTGACTTTTAAATCGATGCTTTGGATTTCAACTAAATGATGATACAGAAAAAAAAAATCTAGCACTTAGCATGTGACAGATCCTTAGGTCTTTCCAAAATGTGTCACATTTAACTATTTTTGAAGTGCAATTACTGTTATTATGCAAGCATTGAACTTACGTACATCAAGGACACATATCGTAATGAGATAAAAGTGATCAGTTACTCTAGTTCATTTTTGGTGCTGTTGTTAAGCTAGGCCTCCTCGGTTTCAAATAATGCTCTGGAATAATTTAACTCCACCTATGTGTGCCTTAATGTTACATCTTTCCTCAAAGATGGTACCTCCAAGAATGCATCATTCCTCCAGTTCTACATTGATGTGTCACTCTACACTGTATGTCCAGATGCTGGAACTGGGAGTGGCATCACTGAGCCAATCTGATGTGTATGTCATGGAACTTTGACTAATGTAGTGAATTCAACCAGATGCAGTGCATACATTGATCTCAATATAAATTACCTCCAAAAATACTCCAGTAATTAATGGATTAAGAACCTCTACCTTCTCTTTAGCCTGTAAAGAAAAGACAACAAGGTGAGTTGTGAGCATCAAAAATAAATATTGGAAGGAAAGCTGGGAAACACACATTTTTAATATGACAATGAGAAAACCAAGTTGTGACCAAGAAACAGGAAACAATGTTTTTTTTTTCAGTTGAATGAAAAAGAGTGCAATCTTGATTACAGGCTTCGTTACTGCTGCTGAGGAGCAAATCAGAATGCTTGCAGCAGCAGGCAACTGTTTTTTCTTCTCTTCTCCAAGTTACAAAGGCCCAATAATAAAGTTCATATTAAAACAAAACTTAGGATAAAATAAATTCTACTGGATGTAACCTACAGGCATTTATTTGGTAAGTCAGAGTTGCAAGTTCTACACCACATCTCCACCCACTTCAAGAGATATTATAATTTGATTTTCAGTTTTGCACGAGAGGAAAAAAAAACTCAATTCCTTACCCCTATTGTTGTCAAACAGGAGGTAAATTGTTTAGAAAGAGCAGCCACTTCCTTACATAAGACAATTGTCACTCTGTAAATAGAAACCAGAATTAGGAAAAAAATGTTCAACAATTCAAAAGACAATAAAATACTCATTAAGACATGCAAGAATACCAAATTTCAAAGGGAAAAACAATTTATACTCCAATGAGAAAAGGGTTCTGATTGGTTAGCAAATAGATTGTGATTGGTTGAATGCACCAGGAAACAGTTGTATCCCAAGTTTAATTGAAGAAAGATCAATGCTTGGCCATGTTGTGTTTGCAGAGCATAAGGCCCAGCCTATGTACAGATGTAGCTTCTAGCAAGTGTGAGTGAGCCACATTGTGAGACTGAACAATAGCCTTAAAAAGGTTGTTAGTGTAATTCTTAGCATAATCAGTATTGTATGATGACTGCTGTCCAAGATGAAATATGCACACCATACTCTGAATTTATAAGCAGAGACAAGTTGAGTAGAGTCACTATTCTGCCTGTTGCAAACAGTGAGGAGGCATGCTGCTTGAGAAGATGTTCCAGTCATTGAAACTTGTGGCCAATATATCTGGCATCACAGCGGCATTGAGACTCAGACACCATGTTACTCATCTGTATAATCGGTAGAACATCTTAGCTTGATGGCACCACATTGATACTAGAGTAAACCACTTGTGTAGCTATTTCATAGCAGAATTAAATGATTGGTTTCAATTGTTGCTCAGATTTTCAGCAGCATTTTCTTTATTTCCCTGCAACTATCAAGTTCTCTACTACCAAAGAACTATTTATCATCCATTTGAGGAGGAGAGAAATGTGGATAATAAACGGAGAGAATCGGGGAAGAGAAAATAACAGCATCGTCAGTTTCTTTCCACTTACAAGATAGAATGCGAGACTGATGTAATACATTCAATACTGTTTACTGGCAGCCCCATTATGGTGAAGTAGACAAACCAGTATCAGAGATTGTCTAAAAACGATTCATTCATGTTTTATACTATTTAAGATGTAATTGTCTTTTTCTAAACGAGGTTGGTCAAACCTGGATACAGAATTCAAAAGTAACTCACTATCACCTTGTAAAAAAGTTTTCCATTGCTTGTTTACAACTTATGCTCCTATCTATTAAACCTAAAAACTTCAGGAACTTTTTTGTGATATTATTTTCCTGATACTTAAAGGATTTTTATGAGGTGAAATCAGGACAAGATGATAGTGTCAAACGGGCAAAAGCAAGTCAACATCTCATTTCAGACTCAGTTTTTAATTGAAAGCAAAATCAGACCAATTATTCCTTAGTATCATCCAAGGCCAAGTTCACCAATTATGTATTGATTTCCCAACTCATTCCGTTTCTCTACATTCACTGAAGAGCCCAACTTTACTGGGAACAAAGCTCACAAGATTCCATTGTAAAGTATGTGCACGTCAATTTAAGAATGCAAAGCAACCATTCTCTTCTGTTCCAGGAATGATTAAAATCTTATATGAACATTAATGCTAGATATAATCATCTGGCCAGGCAGCATTTGATGAGACAAACAGTGTTAAAATGTCAATTTACTGTCCTTTTAATTAAAACATTAGAAGTGTATAGATTTTAATTAAATGAACATTAGGAGGTTGGGAAATGAATAAGATAGATTTGTGAGAGGGTGAAAGAAAGGAGAGGTTAATGAAAGGAGAAAAAAAGACCATAAACAAAACCTACATCAAAAAAAAAAGCAAACGGAGGAAATTACAGTCTGAAATTGTCGAACATAACATGGAGTCTGGAAGGCTGCAAAATGCTTAATTGAAAGATGAAGTACTATTTCTCAAGTATGTAACATCAATTCTACGATGCAATGCTTCGGATTGGTCTTCCTTTACTCTCAACCAAAGACTCCCTGACAATGTCCTCAACTGTGTTTATCCTGCTTCAAGCCGTTCTGCATTCACTCCTCCTTCTCCTTCCCAGAACTTTGTCATCACCTTCTAATCCCCCAGCCTCCGCATTCAGCAAATTATCCTCCACTATTTTGATCATCTCCACCACGATGTTACTACCAAACTCGGCTTCCTTTCCCCTTTCAGCACTCCCAAGTGATTACTGCCTCCAGGACACCTTGGACCACTTGTCAATCACCTCCAATACCCATCCTGTTCCTATGGCCCATTTCCAAAGAAGTTCAGGAGATGCAACACTTGCTGTTTCACTTCCTCTCTCCTCACTACCCAAGGCGCAAAGCACTCCTTCCAGGAGGAATAGTAATTTTTCTCTGCAGGATTTTAGTTTTACTTTTGCTTTTTGGATGGCAGCTGTTCATCAAACTATCACTCATACCTCCTCTAGATGCGCCTTTTGTTTCTTTGGTTTTTTTTCGCTATTCCCTTTGGCATTGCACTGTATGTACCCTTTCTTTGTTTAAAATTTCTTGCCTTTCATTGTACCATAAGTAGAGTTTTGTTTTAATTTTCCTCCCCAACACCTTCACCCCACCATTTCACTTGCTTAAACCTATTACATTTCTAACTTTTCCCAGCTTCAATGAAAAATCATCAACCTGAAATATTAACTCTGCTTCTCTAGCCACTGATATTACTTAAGCTGCTGGGTAACATTTTCTTGATAATGTTTCAGATTTCAGCATTTGCAGGTTTTACTTTTGTAATAATATTAAAACATCATACTTTGACAGTGTTTTGGCACGATCCAGTGAAGCCACATCATGGTTCTGGCCGTGAAGAATTAGTACTGCCACTTTATGGAACTGTTCAATAGATTGTGCAGTGAGTTCGGCCAGGCTTCTTATAGCAGATGTGTGGATGCTCTGTGAATTTCAGAAACAAATTATGCATTTTGAGTTTAGATCAAGCAGGTCTTTTCCTCCTCAATTTACCTATTTAAAACCATCATCCAACTTGCTTATTGGGTGATGAAATACAATATATTGGAAACTTTGATGACATTCAGACTCTGATCACAAACCTTTATCATCCTTGTTGAATATGAAGTAGCAGGCAGTGGGCAAAATACATGAAAATTACAATGTTTGTTTCCAAGGTGCATATTTGTTAACAATACAATAATAATGCATTTTTGTGCAAAGAATCTGTGGACATTTAAAGATCTGTTCTGCATGTTTTATACAGTGACAGATGGAGCAAACATGCTTATTAAATAATCAATACCATCACATGACATATGTTTGCTGAATATATTTCTAGGCAAACAAGACAACACATCACAGAGTTGGCTTCAACAGGCATCTCATCAACAACTATCACCAAGCAGTAATAGTGGGAACTGCCAATACTGGAGAATCTGAGATAACAAGGTGTAGAGCTGGATGAACCCAGCAGGCCAAGCAGCATCAGAGGAGCAGGAAAGCTGACGTTTCGGTTCTGAAATTCTGAGGAAGGGTCCAGACGCAAAACGTCAGCTTTCCTACTCCTCTGATGCTGCTTGGCCTGTTGGGTTCATCCAGCTCTACACCTTGTTATCACCAAGCAGTGCCATTTTCTTGTCACATTTTTAAAGACCTGATGCATTGTCTGCCCCACAAATGATTCAGTAATCTGCTTGAGCTAGCAAATATATTTAGCCAGACGTTGATGTGTTATGGCACATAACAGAATCTGTTTTTAGTTAGACTTCGACTCCATCTCAAAAATACTTTTTTCACAAATTTAAACTGACGTTTTCAATCTTCAAGTGGCTGGTCACTTGAACTTAAAGGAAAGAGAAATTGTCATAGTCTTAACAAACCATATGGCTGTTCTCTCATTAGAGACAGACAATTGATTGCGGCTCAACCAGAGGGTCACCATGCCTCAGGCCAGGGGGACAATACTTCATAGTAACCTTAGCCGGTGCGGTGATTGAACCCACACTGTTGGTGTCACTCTGCATCACAAACCAGCTATCCAGTCAACTGAGCTAAAGCTCTTTAAGTTAAACTCTCAACTGTTACAAATATGTATGTGCTGCATTTGTTATATATTGATTATAGCTAATTACATGCTCAAAGTAGCTTAAGCAAGTCAGATTTTTTTGGTCATTGTGCAGCAAAATCACATTCTTTCTTAAACAGGAATACTCAGCCACATATGTAAAGCTGTGAATGATGAATTTGAACCAATTGGAACACAGTTTTTATGAAATGTTTCCTTTTGCATGGTGTTTCAATAATCTAAGATCTAAAAAATATAGCTTACTGGGGCAATGGTGCTGGAACAATTAGCAGGATTGTGATCGAATACTATCTAAGATCTAAAAGATATAGCTTACTGGGGCAATGGTGCTGGAACAATTAGCAGGATTGTGATCGAATACTATCTACTTGCCTGGATAAGTGCAACTTCAACAATGCTCAAGAAACTTGACACCATCCAAGACAATGCTTGATTGGAACTCCTTTCACCACCAAGGCACAGTAACAGCAGTGTACCTACAAGATGCACTGCAGCAGTTCAAACCTTCAACAGCATCCTCCAAATCCAAAACCTCTACCGCCTAGAAGGACAAGGGCAGCAGATGCATGCAAACTGCACCACCTGCAAATTCTCCGAGTCATGCACTATTCCAACTTGGAATGAAACTGTCATTCCTTCACTTTTGCTGAATCAAATTTCAGAACTCCCTCTCTGCACCAAATGGACTGCAGTAGTTCAAGACAGCAGCTCACCAAGTCAGCTAGGTTTGGGCAATAAATATTGGCCTAGTCAACGATATCCACATCTCACAAGCAAGTTTAAAAAACCCCATTTTGTCTTCTTCGTGGAAGTTAAATGACCTAGCCACTGAACTGAATAGCACATTACATCTAGTAATGACTGTTGGTAATTTGCAGGCTTGTCTCCTGTTTTAGCATAGATCTTTACTTATGTAAATAAAATAGGCTAATATCAGTGCTAAACTGGGGATGTTGGCATGCTGTAAGCGCAGGTAAAATGTGTTCCTGTATTATTATTATCCAGTTAACCATTATTGGAAATCCAGTTGTCTCAAAATTTTAAAACAGCTTTTATTACCTCAATTGAAAACTTATGACCTTTGCTAAAATCATCAGGTTTAGATTTTTCACTGTCCTCTTTCTTCTCTGGATCTTCTGACATATCTTCTATTTGTGCAGGTGATATAGCATCTATTTCACTTATACGATTGTGAGCGTGCTTTCTGGCCTGAAACAGTTGCAAGTCTTTAATTATTCAGCAAAACAATACAGAACAGAAAATTAGATTTGAGTTTGAAGATGGAGCAAATCATTGAAGCAGGGTAGGGGGATATGATATACTAATGTTACTACAAACCGCAGAATGCTTGGTACCTAAAACGAGGAAGTATATTTTTTCCCCTGAAACAGATGTAAACAAAACTTACTGACTATTTTAAAAATAGTTCAATGGGTTTAAGTATTCTGTAATCGCTACAGCATAATCATATTATGGATTGAACTTGCTAAGGTTTCTTAACTTTAAAAGAAAAACAACTCTATCTTAATGCTTATTTTTTCAATGTTTAAGGGCAAGTGTCTAAAATCAAAAACACATCTGATGTTCCAAGGCTAATTCTAATGAAAGGTCTCATGTTTTACTTAATTGTTTTTTGATGTGTCCACATTTTCTTACATTATTTCTGTGATTTTTATTTTCTACTTGTGGTACTAATATCTTCTTAGCAATTTTTTAAAATTGCGTAGTTACAGATTTATAGATTCACAGAATTTAACAACACAGAAATAGTCCTTTTGGCCAGTTATGTTTGGCATCAGCTGTTGGAAATAGTTAGTTGTCTGACTGGTTTAAAAGATAAAGGCAAAACATTATTTTAAAATTTTACCCATCTTCTTTATTAAAAGAATGGTTTCTCCTTCCATCATTTTCCAACAGACAATCCAAGTCCAAACAATTCTCTGCAATAACAAAAAAGCTCCAAACCTCTTTTCATTCCTCTATTAATATCAAGTGTTTAATGGCACAAGACCTTAAGACGTAGTAGAAGTAAACCATTCAGCCTTCAAGTCTTCTTCCTCATTCAACAAAATTAAAACTGTTCTGATAATCTTCAACTTCAATTTCCTGCTTTGTCCCCATAACCCTTGACTCTCTTACTGATTAAAAATCGGTCGATCTAAGCCTTGAATATGTTATTGATCCAGCACTGACAGCACTCTGCAGTAATGAATTCCACAGATCCACTACCCTCAGAAGAAATTCCTCCTCATCTCTGTCTTAAATAGGTGACCCCTTACTCCAAGATTATGTCCTCTGGTCCTAGACAAGGGAACTTTTCCCAAATTTTAAGGTCTCCTGGAACATTACTACCAGTGTGTCCACTATATCTGTAGCTACTTCTTTTAATATCCTACAATGCAACCCATCAGATCAGGGAACTTATCAATTTTATATCAATTTACACTTACCTGGCCCAGTTTGTCAGACGTAGTAGCAATTTTCATCTCCGATAATAACTCAGACAATTCTTTCACAAATCCAGACCCATCATCCCCTGCAAAGTCAATCACATTGTTAAGAGCAGTAAACCTTTAGTTTTTAAAGAAAAGTTGTTTAGACCAACAGTGGCAACATACAGCAAGGTATTAAACTATGGCATTAAAGAGCCAATGGCTTAAATACAGGGAAGGGGCTTCAAATCAAACGTACACCAGACCAATTTTTTTTGGGTGGGAGCAAGGGATGTGTTGCAAGATCTTCTTTGAAAGATAGTCAGTTAGATTTTTTTGAATAATTCAGCAGCATTTTAAAGTCATTTTAAAAAAGGTAAAATTCTATGATTTTTGCTGCAGCCAGACAACTATGTTATTTGTTTAATTTCAGTTTCACTACTTTCCGTGAGGTGATGTAAACCCAAATTCTGAGTTGCTAGTTGAGTACCAAAACAACAAGTAAGTGCACATTCATACTGATTTACATTAACTTGACACTCGGCCCAAATAGAATAGAAAGAAAGAAAACATAGAATGCTCTCCTCTGTCCTGTACAATTCCATGATTCTATGATGTAACCAGGCTCTAAAGTCAGGGAACATGATGTTCAGTCATAGAGGTTGCAGGGTCTCCAAGTGAAAGATGAGGTGTTGTTTTCTGAGCTTGGCAACTATGGAAAACAAAATTTCCTTCTTTATCCTGTCAAAAATGTTCTTAATTTGGAACACCTCAATAAGGTCACATTTAATCTTTTCTACTCTAAGAAGAATAAGCCCAATTTCTCTAATCTTTCCTTGTTTTTGAAATCCTTCATTACTGTTATCATTCTAGTAAATCTCCTTTGCACCCTCTCCAGGGCTTTAACAGCCTTAATGTCCTTCCATGTTTTACCCACTCCCACACTCTGGTCCTGTCATGGCATAGATTGCTTTTGCCACAGCCAACCCATTCTCACTCACTCTTAGTCCAATTATCACATGATATGGGAGAGATAGTAGGAACTGCAGATGCTGGAGAATCTGAAACAACAAGGTGCAGAGCTGAATGAACACAGCAGGCCAAGCAGCATCATAGGAGCAGGAAAGCTGACGTCATCAGAAGGGTCTAGGCCCGAAACGTCAGCCTTCCAGATCTATGATGCTGCTTGGCCTGCTGTGTTCATCCAGCTCTGCACCTTGTTGTATCACATGATATGGGTTGCTTTCAGCATAGTCTACACATTCACTCCAACTCTCGGCTCTTATTATTACTTATTCAGCTTCTTTTCAGTCCTGGCTTACTATCTATAAAAGCCCCTCTACATCTCTCTCTCTCTGGATCCACTTCAACTTATCTGGTCACCTCTCCCAACCACCTCTACTCATACCTCCACCATCTTCAGCATAAATATCACTTTTTCCTAGCTGATATCAGTTCTGATGAAGAATCACTGAACTCAAAATGTTAACTCTGCTTTCACCCCACAAATGCTGCCAGACTTGCTGAGTTGCTCCAGCAATTTTTGTTCCTGTTTTAGATCTCCAGCATTCATGGTTCTTTGTTTTATTTCAATCTTATTGACTTATCAAGGTAATTCCAACCTCGTGCTAAGTTTATGTAGGTGTAGATCAGTAGTATATTTACAAATATTTGGTTGAACACAGAACAAAGTACATAGAAATGGAGAATGCTGGCTTTACTTAGTAAATCCAGCAGCATCCCGAGTACAGGTGAGAAACGGAATAACATTTCAGGTTACGAACTCTCTGCTGCTTGAAATGCTGAGTAGTTCCAGCATTTTGTGTTTATATTTCAGATTCCCAGCATCTGCAATATTTTGCTTTTGATATAGGAATCATTCATTCTCCTTTTCACCTTTGTTCTCTTCTTCATCCTCATCATCAAATTCAACCAAACAAAAAGCTTCTTTTATGGCTGTCAACTCCTCCTTCAACTTTTCCACATCTTCTCCAGATAAGGCATTCAGTACTGATCTAACCTGCAGAATATGATGAACAGCCAACACATGCATGGTGTGAGCAAAAATAAATAAAGACTAAAAGTCAGCATTGGGTAACAAAAAAAAAATCAATTTCCATATTCTCATGCAAAATCCAGAGAATTAACATCATCTATGCATGCAAAATAACAAGTCTGTAGAGGAAATTAACATAGACATGAGGGTATGACAAATATCACACTAAGATAATTCTCTACATGTAAATTTAAACATACAAAGCTGGCATTTTTATTAAGTAATCACAAAATATATCATTGTACATCCGGGTGATCCAGATTTCTAATAAAGTAGAATTCCCCGTATTTGGGACTTGGAGTTATACCAAATTGCAGGCAGTAATACCAAAGAAACAAGCAAAAAAAAAAGTCATATCCCTTATTTACCTTTACTTCACTTTCATTTGACAAAATCTCCAAAGCTTCCAGATGGGACAGACCTTGAAACTCATCAAATAACATTCCATAATGAGCCTTCTTTTCTGTATCCACAGTAAAATCATCACCTGTTTGTTGCTGTTCTCTTTCTTTAGCCTCTCGCAGAACCTAGACAGAGAAAAATATGGCATAATCAACTTCAAGATCCCCTATTATTCAAGAAAATGGTTTAGGTTAAGGGTTTAACTATCATTTTCTCTGATTTATCCATGTTCCAGTTTGGTTAATGAGACATAAGGTAGGACTTTACTTTGGAAATTATCAAATGATGATTAGTGATAATTTCCCCATGTTCCTTGCAAGCCTAAAATTGGATGTGAAGTCTGCTACGAATTCAGTTGACTACTCCAACAACTTAATAGTAACTTCATTTAAAGCACATGAAATTTAGTAACAACATGCAAATACAGACATAGTTCTTGCCTCAGTGCCACTAGTTTCCAAGACAACTCCTATTGTTACTCCAACACTCAATATCCTCACATTCATCAGCACCACATTAATTTTCGCACAAGTCAATACCACCTCTGCCTATTTCCATACAGAGTCCTAGTTCTCTCAACACAATCTCCATTATTCCAAAGTCCGAGAATTCCCTTCCCTTTCTTTCAAAATTGCAAGGTCATCCTCCAACATTCCAATATCTGTTCCTCTTAAAAAAGAAACTCTTCCCACTGTAGGCAACCTTTACTGAGTTCATGAGTTTCTTAAATGGGCTGGAAAACTAAAATCACTTTCCACGAGAAAACATAGAAGGGTGGATAATGTTTCTGCCTATAATTTTTACATTAATAGCTGATTGGTACTTTGAGCAGAACTGCCTAAAATTCTCTTACTAATACTGAATAATTTATGAGTCCTTTCTATTTAATGCCTGCTCATCATATCACAGATTCAGTTCACTGCAATCCATTACCTGCCTCGCGCAATTCTCCTACTGGCATTGTTTCTTTCCCCTAACATTGTCACTTGTTGATTCTCCTGCTCATTACCTCTCCACTCCTGCCCTCGGGTCCCAACACCCTGGGAGAGTTTCAGGAGAACAAAGAAACAAGTGAGAAGTGGAAAGCGGTGAGCATGAAACTTGCAGAGTAGAGCTGTAAAATATTCAGTACGTGAAGCAGTGCGCAAAGAAGGGTAGGAAGTAATTTCTTAAAAAGACTGAGAAAGCTCAACAAACAGTTATGATCATATTTGGGGGGGGGGGGTGGGTCATGGTTCCCATTTTATTTAATCCCCCCTCAGTCTCAATCGTTTTTTCATTTTTAGTTGGTAGCTATCACACTTCAACTAAACTTGGGTAGCAAGATCAAAAATTGAGGAGAGCCAATTCTAATGTTTTCTTCCTACCACCACCCTGAACAAAATAATAAAATGCGACATCAAACACAGGTATAGGCACAAAGGACATGAGCTTACAAGAAATTGGAAAAAGGGTGTCTAGACCAGATGGGAAGGTAAAGGTAAATGCTGTTACAGATTCCAAGAATCCCTTGGGTTGAGAGAATGAAATGATGCCGTCCAACTGTTTAGCTGATGTCCTATTTCTTTGGTAGTAGCACAGTTCACAGATCTTGAATTCTCAATGAAATATTGATTTTGTCAGGCTTGTGTTTTTATCATAGCTAGTTTAGTCACTGAGAGTGAGACTGAGAAGACAATAACCTGGCAGTTATCAATCCATAGTGCTTTTTGCTCAAATGCTGCATTGATATACTATTCCCTTGAAAATTCTGGAAAGTTGGAGAGAACCTTTCATCTCTCAGTATGTGCAGTAATCATGCAAATATGAGACAAACAAGAAACCTTTGATGCCTCAATGAGTTTCAGTGCCTCTTGATAAGAGTAATAATTCTGAGGCAGTTGCTTTTTTATCTTACACGAGTCTTCTGGACTTGTCAGTGATCACACCAGCTATTTTAGACCAGCAGTGCCCCTTTTAAAGCAAATTTTAATCTACAAAAGTCTCCGCTACTAAGTCAAATGATTAAAGTTGCATATTGGTAATCCGTTTTCACTACGATTATAACAACAGGCTAAAATGGACTGAGTCATACTTGGCAACACTCCTAACGTACAAACCATACTAAAGCAGAATCATTCCATTAGAATATCTTTTTAATGGTGGAATGTATTCTCTTATCTAGTCCACCCTGACAACATGAAAAAATTATATCAATATTTCAAAACACCTCATAGCACCTGCTAGCAACTTAGAATAACTCCTTTACCATCTGCTCCTAAAAAAAAAGGTAGACCATAAATTTCAGGACACAGTTATTTAGTACAGATGATGATTTCTACACAAATGTAAGTAAAAAGACAATTTGAACTCAAATACGTAGCCAGCACTTTCATGATACATAGTATTAATTTAACATATTCAATTGCCATACATAATCAGGTCACTGAATTTATTGTACACTGCAAAGTATGAGAATCTCAGTCTCAAAGATTCTCATAATAGGCTAAGTATCTGCTCTTTACGTGCAAAATGGAGCTTTTGGGGAGCTGTCCGACAGGTTTAGTTCTTGCAACAATCCACACCGAAAACTTAATTTTATAAATATATAATACCTTAAACAATCATAGTCCAGTAAACTCCCTCATTCAGTTTTCAATGGACTACAAAGATAATTAATAGCATTATAATAACATTGCAATATTCCAATCATTGCACAAGTGTTCATAACATAATCAAGAATTGTCAAGTAAATGATGCTCCAGTACCAGATAATGACTGTATTTTAGTCATTGCCAAAGGTTACAGAATACCTGAGACAATGTGGTTGTCCTGTACATTAGTCCTTTTGTCTTTTTGAATCCAGGATCTCCTTCTGCAATAACATCCATGGTCTTTTTACCAATAAATTCAAGTGCATCCAAACTGCCACTCAGTACAGATTTCCCCTGAAAATAACATTATTTATGTTTATATTTTATCAGATAAACATACATAAGTTTGATTAAGTATTTTTAATGAATATAATGGCCCAGATTTTCTGGTTGCTGTGGAAACAGATCCGATGAACAGTAATGCTAATAAGGATTTCCCTTAACCTATCAGCAATTTTTTGAGCCAGACATCAGACTCTGGTCTTTCCCAGAAACCTCCATCATAGAAAACCAGTAAGGAATCTAACTGTGCAGTATCAGTTTTCAAGGCCAAGATCTGCCCATAGCAATAGCAGCCTGTATGAATAGCAGCCTATATCAATAGCAGCAATGTTCCAGTGTAAAGTATTCAAAAGACTCAAAGCCACTTTGGCAGGTATTGGAGAGAAGGGAAAAATGCAAGTTAGGAGGGACAGTGAGTAGGGGTAGGTGGGTGGGTGCAGCGGCAGGTGGGTGAGGGAGCACCAGTGGTAAGTAAACGAATTAGAGGGTCATGTAGGGGTCTACAACAGGTATGTGGTTTTGGGGGATGGTCAGTACAAGTGTTAACAAAAGCAAAGTACTGAAGATGTTGGAGATCTGAAATACAAACAGAAAATCGCTGGAGAAACTCAGGTCTGGCAGCATTTGTGGACACAGAAACAGAGTTAAATGTTTCAAATCCAATATGACTCTTCTTCCAAAGAAGTTGAGCTTCTCCAGCACTTTTTGTCAGTATGAGTGATGTGGAGAATCTATGAGTGATGTGGAGAATCAATGAGTGTGAGTTAGACAGGGGGTTTTGTTTTACAATTAGCCAAAATTTACATCTCGTTTTAATTCCTCCAATTGTTCCCCAGTAACCGCTCAGGTAAATGAGTCAGAACCTTATGAAGTGTCTGACTCCAACTTAAGACTTGGAACCTTCCTCAGAGGGTTCCAGAAGCCGAGTAATTACCCATTAGAAATTGAAACTTCCCAAGCAATTACTGTGTAGTCAGTGTGCCAGGACTTTTTGGAACTTTCAGGGAATATCCTGCCTCCGAGTATCCGATGACCATAAAATCTAGGCCAAAGTGTCAGTGCGCTTGCAGTTTTTAGCTCTGGATGCTTTATACTGCAAAATGTGAAGTTTATTTACCCACCTACTCCATACATAACAAAATGGTACTCTGAAATTTTAACATATATCCTTGATAGTTATTCCAGTGCAAGGTTCAGATCTTAAACTATTGTAAAATTAATTTTAAAAATACCAAAGCTAAGCCACACCCTTTGTAAAGATGCATTAAAGACATACTCCATTTTGTTACTTGAAACTAACGTTAATAGATAAACCTGTAATCTAATTGGAAGGGTTGGGTGCTCAACAGTTTGTCTACATATGCTGCGAATGATGTAACAATATAAGCTTTAGAATTGAAACAGCTGAAAAAAGCTCGGTAAGTCTGGCAGCATCTGTGGAGAGAAATCAGAGTTAACGTTTTGGGTCCCATGACCCAAAACCTTAACTCTGATTTCTCTCCACAGATGCTGCCAGACTTGCTGAGCTTTTTCCAGCAATTTCTGTTTTTGTTTCTGATTTCCAGCATCCGCAGTTCTTTTGGTTTTTAATTAAGCTTTAAAATTGTTGGATGTATTAGATTATTAACATTTGCATCAATTAATAGTTCAGTGACATCAGGAATTGTCCCCAACGTATGAATAACCCATTATGCATGTATTTTGAACTTTACATTACAAGGAAGGAATCATCGTATAGTGAAGAAGGCCTTTAATCATTAAAACTGATCTGAAATTGTGGGAATAATTTAGTTAAAATCAGAATTCAAAGTAAAGCATAGTCACTAGTGAGATGCAGGAAGAAGGGAAAATGCTTTACTGGTTAAGTATTCCCAGATTTCTCTTGACAATTTTAAATTAATCTACTACAATACTAATTGGTGACATTCATATAAAAGGCATTAACCATCAGTGAAATAAAATAAAATACATACTCACAGTGCTCTGAACTGCACTTGTGATGGTAGAAAACATCCCAAATGCTCCACTGCTTGAAGAGGAGGTTATGCTCTCTGCTTTCGGGCTGTTCTTACCAGTCTTGAATTCTGTTTTTAAAATCAGAATCAAGCATGCAGGTCTTGGAATTATTTAAGTAGAAATAAACCACATATTGTGTAACTGCACTTATTCAAAGAACTGAATTCTTAACAACAACTTGTTTTTCTAAAGAACTTTCTGCCTCTTCTTCACTTCCCTCCTTTAACAGATTCTTCAAAGTCTGTGGTCAAGATTTTTGGCCACCCTACTGAGAACTAACATGTTAGTGCTCACCTGTAAGAAATTATTGTATGGTAAATTTTCAAAAGATTTGTAATATTTAATATATTTCTTAAGATTGTCAAGAAAATTTTCAGAGCAGCCTACTGTCCAAAAAACACAGGACCAGGGGTATTATCTCTTCCGAGGAACTATCTTTAGATATGGCTGTTAAGATTGAATTCAATGACCCATACATAAACTAACTATCGGAGAAAAAGTCATGACGGGCTCTTAAAAGAGAAAAATAATCACTTTGGATACAGGTTTTCAAAATCATTCTTTCTGAGCAGTCTTCTTTGTAGCATTTAGAGGGGAAAAAAGGAACGAAAGAGAAAAAAAAGCTGCAAACAGAATAGATCAGGGTTGTTAGCCCCAGCTGCAGAGGTTGACTTCAAATGTCCAACTGCCTTCCAGAATTTAAAAACTGTCCTTACTGTTCATTGTCCATTTAGCTTTTGCATCATATTTAAGCCAGCGCTTCTTTATAAACTATTCCTAAATCACTTGTGCTTGAGCTCTTTCTGAGTAATCCGAGACTCCCAAATTTAAATCTTATTGACTGTCTCCATATTCACTGCTACTGGCACCACAAAATCCAAGCCATGAACTGATGGTGCTTTGGCAAAATACCAAAACTCAGAACTCGTAGAACCACATCCCAAGGAGTCATTAATTTTAAACTAGAACAGAAAAAAAAATCTAAAATCTTCATTTTGTACAGCAAAAACTGATTTTTGTGGTTTACAAATATTTCTAATTAAACTGAACTTCAAGGTGGACTATATTTGCAGATTCTATCTCAGTGTTCCTCACAGCATCTTCATCTTAAACCCAACCATAAGCTTGATCTTTGATGGAGGCTAACTATTTAAAATTCAAAGGTAGCTCTTTTGCCAGCACCTCTGTCTTCACCATGCATGTTCACTTCTGACGAAACTTCTGTGGGGCTGGGAATCCCAAGAGAGGTCTCAGCTTTTTCAATCACATTGGAAATCCCATGACCTGTAGCAATAAAATAAAATAATCTATAAGAAAAGTAAGCTAACAAAGGAAGCATTCAGTTTTTAATAACCAACAGTGGAATTAGCAAAGATGGGGGTGGAGTTGGTGCTATTTATACACTTCTTTGCATTACAAACATTACAATGCATCTGGATTTTGTTTGTTCTGGATGAACAGAATATCCTTGACGTCAATATGCTCCACTGTCAAATTTGAGATTGTAAATCAAAAGCTACCAGGGCATTTTCCTCTGCAGTGATTCACTTTCCCATTTACTTTCTAAAGTAAAACTTTAACAACTTCAAATAGTCTTTTAAACTTCATGTAACCAGTTAAATATTCTAAAGACTGTACATTTTTATTTTTCTGTAGTTTGGATTGTGGACTGAAACAGGAAAAACACTGTTTTAAACTAAGGATGGTGGCAAGCATCACTGCACTTTTTAAAAAGCAAATTACTCAACACTCATTGTAAGTGCTGTTTGTTCTAGAAGCAGGGGCAGTCTATTTGCAGACATGCTATATCAAAGGGATTTGTATAAATGGAGAATCAGCTGGCAACAATTAGTTGATTGGTGACCGTTTCAATGTCAAAGGCTTTCTGCCTGCCAACAACTATGTGATTGGCTCTCAGGTAACTGAACAGCTTGTGGATGTGAATTGGAGCTCTAGAAAATAAGGAGTTTTCCTCCCCTTTGTAGTAAAAATACCTCAAGCCTGAAGAAAGTCAGTGCATCTTCCTTTAATCAATTGCTATAAGCTATGACTCTTAACCAATAAGTCAGGTAATTGATAAGTGTGAACCAGTCACTCCATGCCTCTTGCATGCAAGCAAAAATACCTGCAGAAGGAAGGAAGATCAAGAAACAGCAAGTCCTGACAAGCTAAAAGGATCATCATAGTGAACCCTATGCACAATGACCACTGAATTGCCTTCCCAAAGTTCCTCTTCACCTATGATTCTTTTTTTTGGTTTCTGGGTTTGTGCGTGTGTGGGCGAGTGTAATATCTGGGACTGAGTTTTACCTAGAAGAGTTATATGTCGACAGCTTATATTGGTTATCTGTAGCTAGGATCGATTTATTTGGAATAAATAGTAATTCTTG